AACTAAAAAAAAAAGGGGGGGGGGGGGTGTCGAAGGGGATTTTGTCAAAAGAAATATTCATTACATATCCAACGAACTTGACCAAAGGTGCCAATTCGAGAAAATAGAGTTCAACAGTCCTTTTTTATAGGAAAGGTTAGAAAGGTAATTGGGAAACGTATAACCAAGTCACGTAAGTGTTTAGCATAATGCCATGGCATAACGCCAAAAAAGAGACCAGCTTTTCTTCACCATGAATTACTTGTCTGGGCATGTTTGAGATCAAATTATTATTTCCTGGTGAAATTTTAACAAAGAATTTTAAATGTGATATGTTCAGAATTTGTTTTAACCGTTCTGTACTTAATGATTATATTTCCTAATGCCATCTGCCGTGCAGTCTCGAGTCAAGATTGAACTTGTTTTGTTAGTAATTTTCTTTAACACTTGTGATGTATTTGTGTCAGAGAGTTTCTTTAATAAAATAGATGTAGATCTCTTGCCCGGGGCTCTTTATAAAAAGGTATCAAAATGAACATGTTTGTACAGGTCTCCAAATCGTTGAAATTAAAGGAAAGTCCCTTTCTAAAAATAGAAAATCTCCTCACATCTATCTGTCAATCAAATCCTACAACCATTGCACTGGCTCAATGGTGTATAACTGCGTAAAAATTATAAAAATTTAATCGATAACTTGCAAGTCTGGCACATATTTCATCGTGAAGTCAAATTTATGTAGCAAAAGGTGTAAAATGCTTATATTAGTCATGATCGAGGTCCTCTGATATACTACTATAACGTAACAGTAGGCGGGGCCTTGTCTCGTCGCGTGCGTTGTATTACGTGAGCAGACGACAGTTAGGTCTATTACCGATCTTAATTTGATAGCTATCAGACGGCGAATTAAGGATATTTGATCAAAACTCTTCAATCAAAATAAATCAGGTAAGCCAAAGATTAGTTCGTTATCTTATATGATATGCATACATCAGTTCACACTTTGTAAAAGCACAAGTATGTTATTGTCATTGGCATTGTATTTAGCCGAATAAATTAACCAGATATTTGACTAAATAGGGACGTCGACTCACTAAAATTAACAAACCCAATAGCAAACTTAGTTACGCAAGGTTTTTGCTCTTATTTCACTTTGAAACGAGTGTTTTTGTAACAGTTCAAAATATCATAAGAAAAAAATTACATAATATACCAACTGGCCAACGTGATCCGAGTGCAGATTTAGCGACGTAATGTATGTAATAATAGGGTGAATGATGTGGAACTATCTAATATTTAACCCTAATGAATGTGATGCTAAGGGTTTCATTTAATGAGCTAAGGTACCGAAATTTTGTTTATAATATACATGACGTTACGAAACAATTGGTATTTTAGTTGAAGGAAAAGAAATTTTTCCGTTATGTTATTTATTGTTATAAACACCAATATCATAAATTCAGGTGACCTAAACTTGATTCCGTTAAAGCGAAATGGAAAGGGTGTGTCTTGATCATAAAGCAAGTGATGTACGTACCCTTCTTCGAAAATTGTTTGCAGTTCTATACGTCAAGTATATTTCGACATTGATATAAAAGTCCTTTAATCTGTCATGTTTTACGCCCTCGTTGGTTTCGTTTCCTTAAGTTATTGTCCTTTCCTTAAATAGCTGGGACATGCGTAGGGCTACTATAGACCTATTTTATACTATCTTGCGAGGATTTTTTAAGTAAATGGAATATCTGCGTTTTAATATCCCAACTGGTCAACATGACGCGGGTGTAGGTTTAGCAACCAAATGTGAAACTATTCAATCTGATGATCTTGTTGGTGAATAATTTTTAATATATATGAATGTCTCAAAATTTGTTTGAAAAGAAAATTTGATTGCGTTAAAGAAAATGAAAAGGGCGTTTCTAGATCGTGAAGCAAGAACTATACTCTCATTTACATGTATCAGAATAGAAAAAGATTTAAAATGAACAAAATCAGGCGTCACGTACTCTTCTTAGAAAATTGTTTACCGATGTCATAAACGTAGTATATTATGACACAGTGTGGCTTTTTTACTGCCTTGGCCCCCTCACCCCACTTTCAAATTGTTTTTACAATTCACATAGTGAAAGAATAACCTGGCCATTGAAAAGTTTTTAGCCCCTGCTCGGCCCCTTCAAACTAATGTTTCCTAGAAACGCCACTGTTCTGTCATTGATATAAAAGTCCCTATATCTGTTATGTTTTACGCCTTCGTTGGTTTCGTTTCAGTGAGTTACGGTCCTTTTGAAATAGCTCGGACGGGCGTACTATAGACCTATTTATACTGAGGGTTTTTTAAGTGAGTGGAATATCTGCGTATTAATATAACTGATGATCTTGTTTGTGAATATTAAAGGAACACGTTCGCTATTCTTTTCACCACTCGTACCTTAGTCTCCGAAACGGGGATTTTTCAACTAAGCTAATCGGTAATACCTAAAATTTGCGTCTTCAGATACATGTGTTCAGAATTATCCGAGCTTGAATTTGTTAAAATGGCAAATCGAATTTCTTGAGACATATATCGAAAAGACACAATATATAAAAAAAAGAAAATAAAATTTCTAGTTTGAGTTTTTTTAAGATTATATCAGCCCACGAACCACACCTGTTAAATTTTGTTGAATCAAATATAGAGAAAATTCCTTCCAACAAATTTCAACTAACAATCTCTCAAATTTTGGCTGAAAAGAAAATTTTCCCTCTGTAAAATGAATTTTAACGTCTAAACATTTTTTTTTAACTTAAAGTCATTTTGAAAGTGAAATTTCAGTCAAATAAAATATTTCTCATTGAGCCTCCGTGGCTCCCCTGCACACTTCTGAGGTGGTTCGATTTTGAAATTGATTTTAATAGCACAAGCAACTCAGATGGCTTACCCTTTTTTATTATAAAAGCTTATTTAATTTTGATAGATAATTTTACAATTTTATTTCCGCATACATTTATACGAAAAATATTGGCAAAAGTCCAAAACGGTTTAAAGCCCGTTATATATAGCTTACTCCAATGCTTTTGAAAACGGATTGTCATAAGTTCATAGCAGGTTGGCTTTTGTTATAGATTTGCACCAGGAATTAACGTAAGAACTAAAGATAGGTATCTGTCGACCCTACTGGTGGTGGTGATGATTAATTATTAGCAACAAGACTTCACGCGACGGCTATACATGATTGCCGTGTCATGAGGAATCTTATCAATCGCTCGATAACTGAGGCGCACAGACGACCGAAAATCGCAGTTAACTCGTATAACCATTTAAATATTTTGCGTTTTTTAATGAAACTTTTTAAGGGGGAAAATAACATTATTGTACAAGTAATTATTTGATACACGACGAGAGTCCAACGATCAAGTGGAATTCTATCAGGAGGTCACCCGGTGCAACACATTCTCTTTATAATAATATATCTTGCCATTTTTATAGTTTCCAAATAAATGTTTTCCCTTGCTTTAAGACAATTTGACGTTTTTGATAGTCAAAGGGTTCGTTAAAAAGCCCGTACGCCTACAGGTGCGTATAGACGATGTGTACGGCGCGGGATTATCGATACAGTAGAAAATAGAAAAAACGAATCGTGTCCGCATCGTGTCCGGATCCGTACCTCGTGTGTTCACTTCTTCTATTTTTGTAGCTATCATTCCACACCATACACCGCACTGGACACTGTACCTCGTCTTTTCGCGGCTTTAGAGTGTTTTGTAATTCAGGGTTTGGTTTTGGTCCGACAAAATTAGGACCGAGCGGTTGATAAAAATAGAATCTTTGCTTTTAACCGCTTTACACCCGACAAATAATAATTGCTCACCAACAGACGAATCGACGGGTATGAGTGACGCAAATATACGCCCTACATTTGACGAGGGCGTAGAAAAATGAATTTATTGAACTAATTCAGCCAATATTTATTATTAATTTGATTTGACCTAGAAAAAAACTGATGCAATGACTTGCGGAAATTACCACATAACATTGAATATTCTGCATAAGGAAATATTAAGGAGATATTTTGAGTTGTGATTTGTCGCTGATAAATATTTAATTGAAATATTCAAAATGTTTCCGTTCGAGTTTGATTTTTTAGTTTACAGTGCCACAAAGATTGACATAAACCAAACGTCTTCCATGATATACTTATGGATTATCTATTTATCAGCCTATTTTTGAACGAAAAGAATCGGAATGAAGGTATGAATTATTTCCAGTCGGTTTAGATATGAGTCATGCCATTTATCAAGGCAATTTGGCTTTTATTGATAGAATTCACTCTAAAAATATATATTGTAAAATATACACTTCATTTTAATTTCAACGTATTTGCGCTGTGTTGTGCATGTGTGAGTAATTTTGTGTTTGGTTGAATAATTATTGTTATCAATTAATGTTAAGATTTCTAGTAAATTCACACTATTTATGTATTATTCATTGGAATGTAAATTCTTCTTTATGTGTGTAAAATGATTGAACTTTGCCATTTTGCTGCGGTCTGCGATATTTCGTGGTTGCGGTTGTGTCGAATAAAAACCCACTTATTTATTCCCAGATATCACGCTTCGTGGAAAATCAAGTGGCCCCCATATGATTTGATAAGAAGTTTAGATTACATATCATACGTCCGGCTAAAATGATATCTGATTTATTCTGTGTTTGATTTTAACTCCCAAGTCCCCCGTTTCTGCATCATTTTTGGACTAATGAAGACGGTCAACGCCATATACAATGTGCGATAAGTGAAATTGCCAGGACAGTGGCATTAGCCTCCTCTTTAACGATTTTCAACCGTTCAAGAATCTTTAACATGCGCAGTCTGTAACTGATCAAAGCCACAACACCGATAAACCTGGTAACAGCTTGTATACAGGAACAGACACTGTGGTATGTGGATGACTAGGCACGAAGTAAGTGCAATTCACCTCCAAGGAAGATAAAATCCGGATATCTTGATTCTAAACTTAAATTAAGCAGTTTTAAATTTACTTTTTTAGGAATGGATCCCAAAGACGAAGGTGATCGTACAACAAGTCAAAAGGAAATACTTCGCCAAAAGATTTTAACCAAACGAAAAGATCTTGGTGAGGAAGATACTCGTCCAGTCAAACAAATAAAACATGTGGTAAGCCTTAACTTTTTACTGGGGAAACAACCTTGACTTTGAAATCATGCCATTAATAATGTTTTAATGTGGTAAATTGCCAACAAAACTGAAATAAGTCACCGCATTTTTAATTATTCTAGGATATATTCCATTCTTACCCTACATGCATGCTCTGTCTCGCTTACTACTCCCATGACAGTCTCCAGATTTAATTCATTATATTTTAGTCTCAGAAACGGGATTTTTTTAGCCAATTAGTAATAGTCTTTACAGCTCACCGTCGAATAATGTCCATAATTATACACGTTTGAATGTTAAATTGACGACTCGTTATTTTAAGGTATTCTATGATATAGTAAAGACAGATATAAAAACAGTGAGCAAAATGCATAGTTTGAAGTATTTTTGAAAGAATTATACGATTTTCGTACATTTCTAGCACTTCTGAAGACTATTTACATCATTTCAAGACTCAACATGACGCCTTTAACATGGACTTATGAATACAGAGTTAGGTCTGCTACTAGTCATCGTATATTTTTTATTTTTCAGCTCACTCCAGAAGAAATTGAAAAGAGAGAGAAAAGAAAAGCGCAGAACAGGAAAGCAGCAACTAAATTCAGAAATAAAAAGAAGAATATTTTGGACGCTAATCAACAGGTAATACAATTTTTTTATTTTTTACATCTCACTTTTATGCAAACATTAGGCAAGTAGACTACAATAAAGAGACACATTTGATTTTAATTCTTTTAGAACTTCGACTATAATTGTTTTTATAACTATATATTTATGAAGAAGCACACAATTGTTATGGATATACCATTTCTATTTCATATATTATATTTATGTATTATCAGATAAGTAATGACACATTCTTGTTGTCTCAGAATTTTTAACAACAGTTGAATAATCAATGTTGCACGTTAACCTTACCCCATCTTCACACATGTCAATCTATTACGAACTTCCTCTAATACCACCTTGACTGCCATAGCCACCTTCAGCGATTTCATTAGATTGTACATTCACGGCAGAACAACTATGAACATTACAAACTTCTGTGATACAAGAACGGTCTCTATTGCAGTCAAGGTATAAGGCGAAGTTAGTAATAGCTTGACATTGTGAAGATGATCTGACCACTGATCCAGCAGAAAGATTTATAAGTGAAAAATTTGATCGCATTAACAAAATCGATTAGTTTCATGGCTTAATAAACCAATGCAATCTCAGAGTCAACATGTAGTTTCGATTACATTTCCGGATTATTTTACCTATATGTAATTTATAACTTTAAGGAATGTCATGTAATTATTGTAATCAATATGTTTACGTATAGGTAAAAATATAAATAAGCAAATAAAATCAAGTGGGCCCTATGTTAGAACATATTTTGTCTTGTCTGAGCGTGAAAGGACGTTTGGGTTGGACAGACATGTTCTTAATAGGTATTTACTTTCCGTTGCAGGAACGTTTGGACCTTATCAGAGCAAATGCAGAGTTACAATGTCAAATAGGAGAGCTTTCAACAGAAGTGGACAAACTGAAAGAAATGATGGATAAACATCTTGAGTCGGGATGTTCCTTGATATCTATTCACATCCAAGACCACCAAGAATCGAATCCGATCGCCACATCAACGATGGTTTTTACAGATATATCAGATCCAACAGAATTATATTTGAATCTAGAAAAATCCGACCCCAGTCCAGCCAGACCAGTTTTGAATACAGACACTACCGGTTTGATTTCAGAAACGACCGGTTTGATTCCAGAAACGACCGGTTTGATTCCAGAAACGACCGGTTTGATTCCAGAAACGACCGGTTTGATTCCAGAAACATTGGGAATAAATCCAGAAACAACACTATCCCAAACTCTTATTGATGAAATCGGCTATCTACTTTCAGATTTCAATCCAAATGATCTAGATATGTCGACCTACAACATGAACACTCAACCTCAAAAAGTCAATGACTTTAAAATGCCAATCGCTAGTCTACACCATGACCTGTTTCAGCATTCAGTTAACTGCAGTCCAGACAACGAGTTCGACATGTCCATCACAACTCAGAGTGATCAACTCTCTATGTTCCAGAATGCTCAGTCGCATGTTTCACCAGTCAGTGAAGAATTTGAAGATCATTTGGATCCTTGGTTGCCTAATGATGAATCTTTGGAGCAACCCTCTTTTACAAATTTATAACGCAATTAATATTATTTTGGTCAAATAACTCAAATTCCGTTGATCAAAAATCTAAACTAAGATCTCATTATTATAAATGATCATGCCAAATTTCATTTGAATCGGATGAAAACTGTAGTCTTTGTTGTGTTCAAAACACGCGTTTTTCATAAGTCAAGGGCAATAACTCAAAAAACGTTCATCGAAAGATCGTCAAATTCGAACTTGTCCAAGATCTCATTGATAAATGATCACACCAAATTTCATTCAAATTAGTAAAAAAAAACTGTTGTCTCTATTGCGTTCACAAGTCAATTCTGGACGGACGGACGGACGGACGGACAAGGGCGACGACAATATACGACCACATTATAATGTTGGCGTATAAAACGTACTGTCTACAAAATGAAGGAAACTATATGATATGTCCAAATGTCAAAATATTGGATTCATTCGTTATTGTCCTTGGTTTTCGAAATTACGATAACTCGCATTGTTTTTATTTTTCATGTTATTTAGTGGAATTGTTGATATGTATCAGTTGAGGATGAGCCCTATCAAAATTTAAAATAATGATAGGTGGCGTCATTTATTTATTCAAAACACAACAATATGTAGCCCCTAGAATTTACACACAGCTGCCAGTGGGCGTATGACACTTTGTCTGTCAAGCTATCTCTTATGAATCAAAAATCTCTCAGGAGAAAGAATCTGACTGAAAGTGTAATGGAGATCAAACTTTCTAGTGGTTCCAGTGCAAAATCAAATTTTATCCAAATTGATATTTATTTTCGAGATTATAATAATTATGTTGATATTATTTTTTGTTTTTATGTATATTTTCATTGATCTTTTCATCTCTTATGTGTATCGGGGACACTGGTAGCATCAATTTTCACTATTCCATTTTTCAATCAGACGTCTGTGGTTCCTACAATTCCACTTAAACAAAGTGTTTGATGACGACACTAATCGCTAAATATGCTTTATCACGTAAGGCCTTTCGCGATTAGTGACGTCACCAAACAGTTATTTTTTTTTTCCTGATTGTAAAATTGGAACGGTACAAATTGAAAACTTATGGTAGCGGTGTCCAAGATACACCCAAACAAGTTAAAGAAACTCTCTACTATTCCTTGAAGTTATGTTTGCAATACATGTATATTCATATGTTTTACACTGTTCTTTGTGGTGTCGTTAAGTTAATCCATCAACTGTAAACATTAATAACACCTCTATTGAGCTTTTATCATCTTTCTGTCTGATGCGCAATTTTCAGCTTTAATGCTTCTTCAATAATATTTTGTGTATTGTATGATATTATCTTGAATTGAATGAAGTATATTTTGTAAAACGAATGTGATGTTTTACGTATGAACACAATACAATTTATTTTGAGAAAAATGTAGGACTTTTAATTCCCTTTTTGAAAAAACGCCATGCCCACAACTCTTTGTCAGTATACCTGCAATAGAAAGCAACTGACATGGGAGATCTGGGAGAATCTGGGCACACTAAACGAATGAAAACCTACTTATTGCTTCAGTTTCTAGCAAGAAATTGGACCTTGCGATTATCGAATTGATCACAATTGTAAGCTGTTGTTCAATTTCTATAAGACTGTGACAGATCTGTTGAGATTCTTTGAATCGCCAGTCGAGCTCACCTGAAAAGTCTGAAATACGAAAGCCAGTTTTGAAATACGGGCAATACATTCAAAAGTCCGAAAAGTGTCTGTCTTCTAAACCAGTGGCCACTTTCAACACTTTCAACAATTTTATTTATTTTCAACAAATCTAAATGTCTACCTTTTTTCTCCAAAATATGTATCAGAGTGCACAAAATCTTGAGAGAACCCTCTAAGACGCTCTTTGCGAGGCTTGCGACTAAGACACCACCAAAGAGTAGCCAAAATTTGAATTCAGCCTCAGAAGTTGTCCCTCCCATTGAGTCAGTCTGCCCCCTATTTGCATCCCCAGCTTCGGAAGACTGGCGCCACCACTGTGTTGAAATCCCCTGCATTAATCCTTTCAACACTACCGGCCAACTCACAAGCCGCATAATATTCATACCAAGCGACCAAAATCAGGCTTCTCCAATTGACATTTATAATGACAAATGCTTCCAATTACTATGATTTTGAGTTAAGGGTTCATTTTGTAACACTATAACACTTAAGTGTTCAATTCCACACATTTATAACACAATAATACGCCACAAATGTGTTTTTCCTCTAATGAAAATTTCATAGTCTGTTAATACATTAGTTGTCGTTAATGGTTGCATATTAAAAAAATATTAGCAAAATGTGAGAATTTTTAAAAAAAAATGCAGAATTTTACCGAAATTGTTAAAGATGGGTTTCCTTATGAGACAAACTGGTATTTTTCCAAGTCATTAGAACACCTCTACTATTTATTCATATAAGTATTAGAATTTCCATTTTCATAAATGAAAATAAGGGAACCCATCTTTAATCCATTTAATTAAGAGTTTTAACCGATCATAAATGTCCAGAAACGTCCTGTTTAGTCTGGATGAAAAAAAAACACTTTTTGACCTTTCTTCATCTGTCACTCATTAGAATTCTGCTGATAATTCTCTTCTAATTTAGCTAATTATGAATTAATTATGGACATGTGAGACAAACTGGTAATTTTAAGTCATTAGAACACCTCTACTTTCATATTCATATAAGTACATGTATTAGCATTTTCTTTTTCATAAATGAAAATAATGGAACCCGTCTTTAAAACTAATTCATAATTGAAAGCAGAGCATATTAGAATTTTATGGCAGCCCATACAAAAACATGTAAAAATATTTGATTTGTCTGCAATGACGGCTGTGTTTCCCATTAAAAGCATTACTCTGTTTGCATAACAAAGACAGTCATTCAACGGTTGAAAATAAGTAATGTAGAAAGTTGATTCATGCCTATTGATCTTAGATTTTTATAAGTATATATAAGACTAACCTAGTAATATTCAATATAGTTGTCTAGTGTTATAAAAATTGTGTCTGGAAAATTAACATTATGAACTTCAAGGTAAAATGTTAAAGTTTGTTTTCAAAAAAATGAAATTGTGACTCGCAATTTTTTTTTTTTTTTGGTAAAGTGTTAAGTTTTAATTAATTCACTGTGATGATTTGTGATTTTTGATAAAAATTTCTGTATAAAAAAAAGTGTATGTATAATACATAAAATCTCTTTATGAAGTTACTGTGCATATCAGTATTATTTCAAAGGTATTCTTTTACAGTCTGTCGAATACAGATAGTGGACAATTAATATATTCAGGACTCAGGATTGATGCACTTGTTGTAGGACTACTCTGTGAACATTTTTAATTTTGGCTGCTTAATGGTCATTCTTGAAAATATTCAGAATTTTAGGTTGCTTCATGGTTACCTAAAAATGTGCAGATCAATTTGAAAATATTCAGAAAAGTTAGTTGCTTCATGGTTATCTGAAAATATTCATAATTGTTGACTTGTGGTCATTCTGACAATATTAAAAAAAATTGGCTGCTTTATGGTCGTTCTAGAAAATATTCAGAATTTTGGGCTGCTTCATGGTTATTTTTGAAAATATTCAGAATTTTTGGCTGAACATATTTTATATTTTGGGCTGCTTCATGGTTATTCAGAACGTTGGCTGCTTCATGGTTAATCTAAAAAATATTCAGGAATTTGGGCTGCTAGATGATCATCTTGAAAATATTCAGAGCTTTCAACTGCTTGCCGAAAATATTCAGAAATTCGGGCTGCTTGATGGTTACTCTGCAAAATATTCAGAGCTTTTGGCTCGTTGGTGGTCATTCTGAAAATATTCAGAGAAGTTGACTGCTTGATGGTCATTTTGAAAATAGCAATGTCTTGCTTACTTAGCAACAAATAAATACATGTATCACAAAATTTAAAAAAAAAGCAAAACATTTCGTGATAATTTTCCCAAGCTGCATCTACCCCTCTTTTTTGACTAAGTATAATCGTCGTATTTTTTAGAAAAATTCGAAATTACCCCTACAAGATTGCCAGATATTGCAAAATTTCTTAGAATATTCTGTTCTGCTTTCGAAATGAATATCCAAATTACAATTTTTACATTTATTTTTCAAAAAAATGTCAATCCATTTTTTGAAGTTCCTGCAGTAAACAAGTTCCTATGTTTTGAATTCGCTGAACCGTTGAATACACCCCTTCTTCAAGAACAAAAGTAAATCGAGTATACAGGAGTTAAATTGAAATAGATAATAGTTTGATCCAAGAAAACACACCTGATATCACTTTACATTTGAATTTGTCATCTCAGCTATCTTACAAACATATTTTTCTGAAATGAGATAGTGACATAATGAACGAACTTGCAATTTTAATTTGGATGTAAACGTGGTACAATATGTATAAGAATTCAATAATGTGGATTAAGTTATTTGGACTTTGTTTAATTATAGGTAAGTTCAATACTGTAATATATTTTTTTAATTCATGCTGGCTATTATCAAAAGGTTACATCTTAATACCTATCGTTCAATAAGTTATTTAACGGGATTTTTGAGAGGTTTTTCTACATTTTTGTATGTTTACCGGAGACACTGATAGCATCAATTTGCACCATTCCAATTTTCAGTGGACGTCTGTGGTTCCTGCGATTCCACAATAAAAATGTCGTCACTTATCGTAAAATATGCTTTATCACATATGGCCCTTTGCGATTAGTGACGTCATCGAAAGTTTAGTTTTAGTATTCGTAATTTGGTAAGTTAGACAAAATGAGTCAGTGTTGGACAAAGAATAATATACCAGGAAATGTTTTTTTGGGCGAATGACCTAGAACATGATAATTTTAACAATTTCGTCAGATGGCGTCATCCCCGAAAAAAAAAACAGGAAACAAAACATTCAGATTTGCAAGATGAATTTATTGTTCGTTGGATTCTGAATTAATAATTCAAATTTAATAATTAAGGCAATTTATTTCTTTCATTGAAGCTCACGTGTCAACAGAACTGAAACTAGCTTCATATTATGGTGATGACATGGTACTACAGAGAGGTCCTCAAAGGGCTATTTTATGGGGAACAGGCAGTAAGATTGGTGATAAGGTTACAGTCGAGATTAAAGGAGGTGATAGGAGGCTTCAGGTGTGGACTAGAATAATCAGAAATAAAGAAGCAGAAGAAATTATATGGAAAATAAAACTTCCACCTATAAAAGATACATTTACATTTAATATATCGATCTCCTCAAGCGAAGGCCAACTTTTGATCAGGGATGTACTGTTTGGAGATGTTTGGATATGTTCGGGACAAAGTAACATGGACTTTGCTATGAATAGTGTAAGTACCATTGCCAATCTAAATAAAACAGTGCATGACCAATCGTGGCGGCACCGTCCTCCCGATACTGGGGATACAAGTAGGGGTCAGACTGACTTTATTGAAGGGGGGGGGGAGGGGGGCATCTTAGAGAGTTCTCTACTCTAAATTTGTTTGGACACATATTTTGGGGATAGAAATACAAGTATCGTATTATTAAATTTGTTAGTGGAAATGAAGTGGGGGTATTGGGTGCAAACCGATGACCAAGTACACTACTACGATAATCACTCCAAAGATAGAAAAAATCACCCACAATTGTACTGAACAAGAACAAATCATTCCCTTTACTATTTCATAGAGAATCTCTTGACTATTCAATCAAAATAAAATCTCCCTGGGTGAACTAAACGCCAAATTATTTGCAAAGAACAAATTAAATGCATAAAACTTGGTCATAAAGAACAAAACAAACGATGATGATAATACCGATGGCGAATCAAACGCGATTTTTTTTTTTTTAAAAAATACCACCTTCATAATACAAATATGTTTCACTATTTCAGATTTTTAACAGTTCTTTAGAATTGGTCAAGTCATTGACATTTAAGAATATACGTGTGTTGAGGATAGGTAAAGATGAATCCCTTCAACCTTTAGAGGATGTAAACATAATCAAAACAAAATGGTCTTTACCAACGTCTTGTGAGTAAACCTTTAACAATTGAAATGCCTATGTGTTCTATACTAACTTTTCCTATTAAGCCCATGTCTATTGTATATATAAAAGAGTATCTTAAATTGACGAGTCGTCATCTTAACATTCAATCGCGGATAATTCTAGACATACATGGATTTGAAGGCTCAAATTTCGACGGTGAGCTGTGAACACTATAACTGATCTGTTTAGCTAAAAGAAATCCCGTTTCTGAGACTGGTATGATTGGTAAAAAAATGGCACACCTGTCCCTATATATAAATGCCACAAGTACAAAGTTATTCTTAAAGGTGTCTTGGAATGATGTGTTTCAGTGAGATCGAGTAATTCAAAGATCAAACCTCGAAACCTTTATCTCTCATCCTAAAGGGGGGTGATTCATTTTTCAGATTCTATACCAAGTTTTAGTGCTGTATGTTGGTTATATGCTCAATACATATTTCCATCGTTATTGTATCCCATAGGATTAATTCAATCCTCTACAGACTCATCATCAATAGAAGCATGGTCATCTTCAGAAGCAATTACCAAATGTCCAGAATCAAATTCAGATAGGTGAGTTGAATTGCCAGACAGATCGACTCGTACTGTGGCTGTCGTCTGAATGAAACAAAAGAAACCTCGAACATCCCTCGAACAAGACAATGAAGAACTAAGTGGAAGTATATCAGTTTATCATTTCAAACTGCTGTCAATATTGAACATTGATCTAAGAGTCATCTATGACCATTGGTCCATTCTATTTCTAGTCAAATTGCAGCTTAATTCGTTTGTATAACAACATTTATGCTTTTCTTTCATACAGTGTGAGAGAAAGTCTTCTATGGAATGCCATGATACACCCTCTATTAGACACGACAATTTATGGTGTTCTGTGGTACCAAGGTAAGAGCTTTGCCTTATTTCACTGATAAACGATGAATTAAGACACATGTTGCATTTTAATACTTGTAAATTAAGAAACACAATTGTATACTATTATGCTATGATTGTTATCCAATTTTTTTTAACAGGAGAGCGAAATGCATTGCATCTTTCTTCGAATGTTCCAAATTATTCTTGTCAGTTCCAAGCTTTGATCGAAGATTGGAGAAGTAAATTCCACACCCATTCTAATGGTGAAACGAAAAAAGATTTTCCTTTTGGATTTGTTCAGGTAACAATATTCAGTAAGTTGTAAATTACGGCCAAATAGCCAGTTTATTGAATAGGACTAATTTTCTAGATTATAGGCAAATTTCAGTAGCTTTCCTTACCTAGATACAATGTCCATCCGAAATTGTAGCATAATAAATCCTCGTTCACTTTTTTACGTTGGATAATTGGTCATTGCCCCTACAAACGTGTCATTGGTGTTACTAACAATTAGTATATAAAAATGTGTATGATGTTAATGGTATCTTGCGACTCTAATTCTGTGCAATTTTACATTGTGAGTGTAAACTTCATGCTATGGCAAACAATTCTTTTAATTTGGACGCTACTACGGTGATCGGATATATCTATAAGATAAATTTACTCTGTTTATAGTTGGCATCATACGAAAATGACCCAGATATAATTGGTACGTTTCCAGATTTACGATGGTCTCAGACATCTGAACAGGGTAAAGTACCGAATGCGGATATGCACAAAACATTTATGGCGGTTGCTATGGATTTACCCGACTTTAATTCACCATCTGGAGCGTATGTATATTATTGTGTAATTACTAAATATGACAATGCATACTGCTTCAAAATTGTTTTCAGTTTTTAAATAACTTTTCATAGGTTCACATTAAGCCCAGTACCAGATCTGATTAGAAATCTAACCAGATTTTGGCCGATTTTTATTGCATCCAAGCAATATTTTTACTAAATTAATATGCCTTATCTTTTTTGTCTTCGTGATAAAGATAAATAAACCCTTCGATCAAAGGAGTTGGCCAAACTATACATTAGTAGTAAGGATAATACAGGAAAGGTTTCTGATCGAAGGTATATGCCATAGACAGAAACTTCGTAATCTAAGATTGAATTTTTAAGATGGGTAAATCATATTTTAGTAACCCCTCCTTCGAATACATCGTAGCTTAATGTTATTAACCTTTCAATACCTATATTTAAGAATTCACCCGAGAGACAAGCAAGATGTTGGTTTACGGTTAACATTATCTGGTAGAGCAGTAGCCTATAACGATAAACACGTTGAATACGAAGGTCCTTTTCCATCAAAATATACCAAGGATTCCAGAACACGAGGGATTGAAATCACGTATAATAATGGTAAAATGCCAATAGAAGTGAGGTCTGAAGTTGGTTTTGAGGTAGTGGTTGTTTTATATATTTGAAAACAAGAAAACGGCGCTTTATAACAACTCTTTACAGACACTTAACTGCACAAGTTTTCTGCATTTCACAATGATCCCAGGACGTTGAGAAAGAACAAAACAAACAAACAATTGATAACTATAGCTTAAGCATGAAAATATTTTAAAACTTCAAATTTAACTAACTTTTCGAGCTAAAGGTAGAGTTGACCAATTGTCTAGACAAAATCTGAATTGGGTCATATAGGTCAATTCGAAAAATATTTCTGTTTTTAGGTTTGCTGTAATGAAAATACAATAAGATGCACCAATGATACCGAATGGAAAGCAGCGCCAATTGAAACAAAAACAAATACATCGGTTGCCATTAGTTACGATGTATGCATGGGAATAGCTCCTTCTGGTATCAGATATGCTTGGCGAGAAAGTCCTTGTGACTTTAAATTGTGTCCAATTTATGGTGCAGAAACTGGTCTCCCTGCTCCTCCATTTATAAAACTTTCACGATTCTAGGAAATAAAAATGTATTCTTATGCTACTTTAAGGATTCGTTTTCAAATAAATTCGTGAAACTGTGACCTCGAAAATCAAATGCTAAAGTAGGGGTCTTGTGACGCTTTTATGAATCCATTGATGAATAATAACTAATAACAGATCAGTATCGACCGAAACATCTGCCTCTGTTATGTTTTTTGCTCATCAGAATAGCTATTTTTGAAAGTTGTAATTTGGCGCGTAGCCAATAACTGTAAAAATACCTATAGGGACAGGAATAGAGGCAGATGTTTCGGATTAAGATCAATGGTGCTAAAGAAGCTTTTTAATTGAAAAGATTATTTTATAGAAAATGAGTAGAAGTAGTGTGAATGCCTTCTAATTTGTTATCAGGAAATCGTGGAAGGGCTTGGCGAGATGAGTAAGAAGTAAGGTCAAATCCTTTCGAATTTTCGGCAAATCTCAAATTATTAAAAGTTGTAGATTTTCTATGAATTTGGATTTCTGTTTATTGTAATCCAGCTTAATCCAATTAGACAAAGAAAAAATTCTCAGTGTGTTCTTTATTACTTCTTTGTCAGATCATTAATATGTCTTTAGAGAAAATTGCACCCAATTGATAAAGGTAGCTTGCCAGGCAAGGTAACACATGCCAAGTGACAGCTTTATGGCAGCTTTTTGGAAAGGGAGGATTTGATTCTCCAAAATATAAAGGCCTATAGGGTGGAACAAATCAAAACATTTAGTAGAACACCAATTACCGCAACCATCCAAACCTAATTTTCTTATCAGGTTTATAAACAATTTCATCATTGTTAGTCAAAATCCATCAAGAATGTTTTAGCATTTTAGAACTGTAACGCTGGCAATTCAAGGGCAATAACTCTATCAAAAATATGAATTTGTTTTTATTTTCGATGGGTTCATACATGAGTGATAATGAACAAAGTTCGTCGAAATCCACCCAGAATTTTGACTTTTAGAGTGTTAACTAGCTAAAAATTGTACTCGTTTCGAAGTTCAGGGTCAATAACACATATTTAATATTTTTCGATTTTTGTTTGTTTTCGATGAATGTGGTTCATCTTGGATTTTGATAAACATCTTCGTCAAGTTCTACAGCCTCAAAGCGTTCACAAGTAGTCTATTAAGACGAGAAGACGAATATCTACAGTTACTTACTACGTGGGCGTATTAAGGCTACTCAAAAATGTATAGGACTCTTTGTTGCAAAAAGTTCAAAAAGGTAACCTCATTCAGCTGCACATGCGCAAAGGCCTTGTAATGTCAGACGACAGTAGAGCCTAGTATCCTCATATAGTGGTTCGAAGATCAGTAGGCCAAGCGGGCGTCTGAAAATTTTACAGCATTCTTGAAGGTGTTTAAATATGAATAATTATTACTACGTGGGCGTATTAAGGCTACTCAAAAATGTATAGGACTCTTTGTTGCAAAAAGATCAAAAAGGTAACCTCATTCAGCTGCACATGCGCAAAGGCCTTGTAATGTCAGACGATAATAGAGCCTAGTATCCTCATATAGTGGTTCGAAGATCAGTAGGCCAAGCGAACGTCTGAAAATTTTACAGCATTCTTGAAGGTGTTTAAATATGAATAATTATTATAAATATGCAGGCCCAATTGTGATGAAGCCTTGCACAATAGACACAGTGTGTTGAGACCAAAATTATATCCTAGGATGATGGTGATGAAAACCTCTAGCCTTCTAGACATTGTGAACTTTTTTGTGGCCAGATTTTCTAGATGACCTTGGGATTGATAGTTGACCGCAACTGAAACAAATATAATTCACATGTAACCTAGTTCATGAAGGATCCATAAAGAACAACTGATTGCATATTCACCATACCATGCTGAAGATAAGGTAAATGCAGTTATATTATTTTTATCTTGGCTTCAACAAATTGATTTTTTGTGGAAGGGAGGGTTTGACAGACCTAGGGGGAATAGGCAATTATCAGATGTGATTGAATTTAGATTTAGTAGAACATGAGATCTAAGTGTTTAAAAATGGTCTTTTCCAATGACGTCAGTAGACAGGATATTCCTTGGTTTATGGCCTTCATTTGAATAGAAAGTATCATTTTATTAGAAGTGATTCCTTCCTTATGAACAACATACATATTTTCAAAACATACCCACCACTTATGACAATTCTCTTCATAATGGGGCTTCTTGAAGAATAACTGATACTTTAAGGCCTGTCATCTCCGATAACATAAAAATCTGTAAATGCAAGACAATACCTCGACAATCAAAAATCTGGTTCAAAGAATGGCAAAATCAGGAGTAAGATACCCATATTAGCGGACTCCTCCAAAGAGAAGTACCAACAGATTTTTCGAAAAGAGTAAATTGTATGGTATTCCACGCTTGCAACACCCCCCACTACAATTATGGTCCAAATCATGAGAGACAACCAGATGCCGGTATTGGCTATATTGCGGCATAAATAAAAAATAGCAGCTTTTTGTATAAATTTTAATATGAAAAATAGATATCTCTTATCTACAATGACATAAAGTGAATACCTACTCTGATTATAAAAATAATATAAGTATTGTAATATTATATCTATTATCTATCAAATAAAAGACATCATCTTGCTTGGCAAAAAGACAAAAAATATACAACCAAATAGCAGATATTGTATAGTAACAATATATTTTAATAGTGTTCTAATTGAGAATTAAAAAAAAATTAATCACAAATACTTATTAGATCTGATCCTGGAATATTACAGTTTACTTACTCACAAAGTGTGTTGAAATTATGTTTAAAACAAAGTCGACATTATCTTTAAATCAAAACTAAAATAGGTGGGTTAATTCAACAAACTCAAAAGTAAAATCTTTTGCATATATTGAATATTTTGTAAGTTTGAACCTAAATACAAAAGTGACCTATATTTCGTATAAAATCCTGAAATCCTTAAATAGTCTCCCTTAAAATTAGTTGCATTGTTTGAGTACAGTATCTCTTGATTTCCACAATATTCTGCAGTGTTGGCTTATGTTTGATTACCGACAGGTCCAAAGAGGAGTTAAATATTAACCAACTATTGAACTACAATAAATAATTTCAATTTAACTTTTACAAAAAAGCAGAATTTTATACTGGAGACAGAATGAGGATGAACACAATAGATACATTAAAATAATTGAGAAAACATTGAGAAAGAGCAAATAAATGTTAGTGCCTTATAGTTCATAAATCCCAGAATGTATTACATCTTACTAAACATGGTAAGTTAAAACTATACTACCTCTATTTATATATCAATGTGCTGCTTAAGACACTGTGTTAAAGATTAAAAAAAAAACGTGTTCTGTTTTAATCAATATAAAGCATTAAATTGACAGTACAGTTTATCTGAAATTATTGCCAATTCATGGCACCAATATAAGATTTTATTTGAGCAGAAGTAATGAAAAAATGAGCAACAAGTCTGGAATGATTCTTTCATGAATTTTTGACTCCAACTTGAGGTATGAAAAAATAGTAATATCACAGATATAGAAAATGATATTTTGATTTGATAACATATAAGCAATCTGACATTTAGGTATTTAATATCAAAATGTTTTAAATGAGTTCACTTTCATTATTTTCCAAGACAAACAGCAATGGTAGGAAAATACTTATAAAAATATCAGAACGGTTGAAGAGATGTATATTGTAATACCACTGAAACAATGTTTTCTTTCCCAATATCGACTAGTGAAAAAAATAATTTTGAAATATATATGATTATCTTAAACTTATTTAAGAAAATAAAATTTGAGCAAGTCAACTAATTGCTTTGTATCTAGCTTTCCGAAACCAAATTAGAGGTTCTTTTAAGAACCTTGTAAGTAGTCACGTTTGGACCTTGATGACATCACACAATAATTCAAATTATCCTTTATATCACATATCTGATTGAGGTGCTTTTGATATATTTAATAAAAGTACTAAGTACGTGTTCTATAAAAGCATTAATTTTCATAACATTTAATAATATACAAAATCTATACATAAAACTATACAAAAAGGCACTTTTCATTGCTAGGATAACAATATATTCCCTGCAGCAATTGGTATTCACAAAAGTTGCATAGTTAAGTACAATCTATGCACTCTTTAAATTCAAATTACAAATATATTTTGAAAGAAATTGTTAAAATTAAACTACTTTATTTAAGATGATTGATGCATAAGCCTCTCTACATTCTCCAGAATTAACTCTTGAGACGTTCTCCAGTATTTTACAATGAATGTACAATAATACTGCCACCTATTATGCCAGTTCATCTTTGAAATAAGGCTAAATTACAAGTACTGGAAGGCACTGGTTAAATATATTTTCATCTGTAAATGCTATTGCAAGAAATTATATAGTTTAAACATATTAAACTTGTTATCAGAATACGATACGAAGACCATAAATGGAAAGTTATATCAAAAATTAGCGCACAATATAAAAAGATTGTTACCTTGAAAATTAAAACAATAATTATTGAAAAATGAATTGCTATGTATTAGTTAACCAGCCAATATATTTTTGCACATCACACAAGTTTTGGGATCCATCTCAAAACAAGAGAATTGCTAATCAATAATTTGAATCTTCTCAATAATTCAAATACACTGTATGACTTAAGGCCAGCTAGGTAATATTGCTTATAGTAAAAACAGAATACCGGTACCATAATTTGTACACTGAAAACTAATATCTGATGCTGATGAACAAATTGGCTTAGGTGGGAACTTCGAATGAGATAACTTACTTGACGTCAATTTTAGTTCCCTGAAGGATTTTCATAAGACATTAGGTCCCCATTTGTCAAAAAAAAATATGGTAATAAAACTTTTTTTAGAAACAGTGCCCAGAAGTTATTATTATCCTTTTGTCAATTTTGGCATTAATTTGATTAAAGTTACCTTTTGAAAATGACAGTTATCAAGGATCATGAAATAGGTATTTGATATCAAAAGCTAATATTCACAAAAGAAAACAAATATTCACAACTCATGCATTTTGAATGCATATAAATTAACAAAGTTTACAATATGATAACAATTATGTGATTAAAACATGGATATATCACTGTCGGATATAAGCATTATAAAATAATAATATAAATATAATAATAATAATGAAAAATATATACATTCTTTGATAGACAAGTAGAGAAATAATAGTGTATAATAAAATTGTAAGTTAAAAGTAGGTTAAAAAATATATTTGAACAACTTTTTAAACTTCATGCTTTTTAAGTAGATCAAGAGGAAGTGAAAATGTTTCTGACGATGGAATTATGATTTCAAAAGACAGATACCATAGTGTCATGTTCACAAACCTTGAAACTTAGAAAATTATGATGTCAAAAATGCCTAATATTGAATTTGGATTTGATGGTAGGCTCAAAAAGCAACCCTAAAATTTCATAAATGACTCAAGATTGATATTGGACACATTTCATGCCAATATTGATTTAGTAAAATGTGGATTTATGAATTTTATAGTTTCGTGTTGGTTTTCGTCTTGCAATTCTAATTTGGTTAATTTTCCTTTCTCAACTACTGCATAAAAGACATTGTAACCTCCAGTTAAAGGTATTGTAACTTATAATAAAAGTATCGTCTTGTACAGTTATCATGTATTAAAAAGCATATAAAAACAGAATTAAATTTGATTTAAGAAAGCACTATATGAATTGTTCACCCTATAAAGAACCTACTTTAGTTTGAGTGTAAAATGGAAAGGGATACAACCAGTTCACTCATTGCTGTTGATTTGTTGGCAATAAAACCTTTTCTTCCATAATTTGTCTAATTTCACCATCTTAGCCTGTCATCCACTGTTGTTGGACTTGAAGGTGTGACCTTGATATCTTCAACAACCTGATAATTGTACGTCCAAACTTGTTGGTTGTAATAGTTCCCTTACTGAATATGGAGGCAGGCACAAAACAGGATTGACCAAGACATATTGTGGCAGAATCACAAGAATTTGTAAGGCGATACAATCATTATTTGGAAGGAATTGATTATTTCATTGCTTTGGTGGTTTTTATTAGATTTCTCTATAGTGTGGTTGTAGGTTTTCCATTTTCAATATTCTGGTAAATGTCATCAGGCACTGTAACAGAATAAGAAGCAATTAAACTATTACAAGCACCAAAAGAAATGAATAATTCAGTAAAAGTCATGATGAGCGGGAACATTCAAATTTTCCCAACACAATATTTTGCCATTAATTATTGTTTTCTTGAAATTTTCATTGCACCACTTCTATAGGCTATTGACATCACTCCATTCTTTTTCTGAATAGTCAAATGAGGACATTTAACCAAATCAGAAAGGATCACCATGATGTTTATGAAAACATCGACCATTTTAATAAGCAAGACAGCACTTTAATACTGTGAATGATTTGTTGACTTACCAAAAGCTTCGTTGGAAAAACCAGTATTCTCATAGATAGCAGTGTCATTATCTTGTAACCTTTTCTTCCTTCGATTTATGATTTCTTTGATTGTTTCATGTATAAAAATGTATTGTTTCTGAAAATAGACACATAATATGGTATCTTTAAAGAGAAGGTAATATAATGGCTACATCCTTTAAATATGTAACAATTTTTCACCAAAAAAGTAAGGAAGGCCTTACTATATAGAGAAAGTCTTGTTGGATTTTGAGATGAAGGGAGGATTATATGCTAAGCTAAGATATTCATCCACCCTAAAGTTCTATGATAGTTTGTTGTTTATGGCTGTCATTATCTATTGTATATACCATAAACTATACAAAGATTACATTATTAGCTATGTGGACCTTGTGAAAGGGACTTTAAACTCATTTAAAGCATCAGGTGTTACCAAGGTTATAACCTACCACAGTACTCATTTGACCCTGAAGTTTGCATTATTCATATAAACTTACTATACAAACAAGAAAACTATGGTGCTATTCTGCATTTTATTTGGTCATGCAGTTAAATGAAATGAGGAAAATCTGTATGGCTGGGTGTGATTATGCTATAACAGTCAGACGCTACAAATATCAAAGATTCTTAAAGAGAGAAGTAGGGGTGTCCAGGTTTAGATTTTGTCATTGATCCCATGTGGTTGGAAAGTTTGCAATCTGCTAATCCAAAGGAGTTAAATGGAGGGCCTATTGGCTATGGACTGTGTTAGGTCCAGGTTGGTGCCTAGTCAGTTGATTATTTGGTAGTTGAGAAGTGAGAGACGACTGGTGTGTTTCTCTTAGGATAGATAGGTTCACTTCTTTAGCATTAGCTTTGGCAGACTGGTTGGTGGCAAAGTAGACTCTTTGTCTTTTAGCCAATGGGTTTTCTCCCACCAGGGTGGTTATAAATACTTATAAGTTTTAAAAGGGGATCACGACTGCCCATGGGGGTCACGAAATGAAAAATTCTTACCTCTGACTGCACCATATGTTGTCGGAATTTTCTCATTCTGAGAACAAGATCATAGATATCAATATCTGATGACATGTCACGTTCATTAATATATTGTTGAAATATATCTAATGCTATAAATGTTCCTGTTCGTCCAACACCAGCACTAGAAATTAGACATTAAGATAATAAGAACAAAATATCTGATTTCTTTTAATGCACCATTGAGACATGCTTTTAAGTTTATGGCAAAAAATGTCTTATGTTCACTTGTGGAAACTGTACAAAAGGTTAGATGTTGGCGAACTATATGCAATTCCATAGGCGTACTGGCACTGTATAGGGGGACAGGCTGGTTTGCCCCAAAAATTTTGGGTTGTTGCCTGATATTTTTCAGCAGATTTTATTTCACCTCAAAACACTGTCTTCCTAAGTTTTTTCCGGTCGCTGCCTGACAAGATAATGTTTTTTCTGAGCAATTCCCTTTAGGCTTTTATTGATAATTTGAAGACTTAAAGGAAAAATCCAGCTTGTCTTTGCAAACAGTTTTATTACCTGCAGTGAACGACCATAGGACCTTTATCAATTGGTTTAACTTCTTGTCTAACAACACTGAGAAATTCTAACACATCTTCTGGTTGTAAATTGGCACGATAATCTTCCCAACCAGGTAGGAAGAAATGACGAACTTTCCTTACTTCTTCACCCTAAAGATGCATCAAATTAAATGAGTCAGTTATGGAGTGGACTGATCTCCTTTCAGATGTTGCAAACATCCATCTCGAGACTGGTACAGACAAAGGACAAATAACTTGTACCATTTTCTCTTAAGGGGTCAAGGAGAGCATTTTCGTATATGCATTTCTTATAGGTCTTCTTGCAGTGTGATCTGCATCCATATGTTGCGAACATCCATCTGCAAAACTGGTTCAGACAAAGGACAAATAACTTCAAGTGATTTCCTATATATATATGCCTTTTTGCTTTTGGCAAGTTATGGACTTGTCTGGTTTTATCTTGAGATGTGACAAGGAACCATTATGAAAATACTGGTGTCATTCTGGCAAAATGCATAGATTTCTTGTAAATGTATCACATTTTCTGAAGGGTATTTAAACTCTTCAAATATACCACCACATTATACTTACCAATTTCATTTCAAAGATTTTGATAGTATATTTATTAAGTACAGATACACTTGTGACCTCAACTATGATATCACCATATTGTTCACTTTCACCTTGATCTTTCCAGTATTTATCAACTTTGGGCTACAAAAATACAATTAAATCCATGACCAAATTGAGATTGATTATCAATGGCAGACTGTGCTGATCAATAATCCATTAATAATCAAAATAATTCAATTAATTCCTGTAATTTTAAACATACCAACATTCTCAATTTCATGGGTTATTTTTGCGTCATAGAAGTTTATTCTTGCTTTGATCAGTTATTATAGTTTATTGTGGGTAATCTATGTGGTGAAGTTAAACTATGTGGAAGAGATTACTACTTGTTAACAGGTACAGTGGAGAATATGTAACTTTGACATGTAATCGATAATAAAATTTGATAATCAAAATGAAAATGATCAATTCCTTGTGACGATAATCGATTATTTCGATCGTTTTACCCAACCCTAAATGCAACACCTTTTGAAAGGTAGCCCTATGATAGAAGTTATCCTCCCAAATGGGCAGATATAGGGTAAATCAAAAGAAGAGAATATGTTAAAAATTTATTCTCCTTGAAATGTTAATAAATAAACTGAAGATATTATTCAATTTGATACAAATACAGAGATGGTAAAGCATGCTTAGCAGAATTGTGTTATAGGTCAGTTAAGGATAACTAGTAAAATCTTATGGCTTACTTACTCAAATAATGTTCAAAGAAATTCACTTAGAAACGATGAGATCATAAGGATCATGAAATACTGTTATATTTTCATCAATTATTGATAAAAACCATTTAAAAAACATACCTTTCCCTTTTCTGTTAAATCTGATAACATGACTATTATGGCTACTCGTTGTTCCCAAATCATTCTCCAGAAATCAGGTATAGTACTAATATCTACACCACCTACATTAGTTACTAGTGGACCTTGTGTAGCTATATATTCTCGTTGTGATTTATAACCCTAGACAAAAAAAAAATATTTCATGAGAACTTGCTCATTTCTAATTCTAAGAAATTTCTAGGAGTAGAACCTTGCCATCATTTATAAAACCCAAACATTTTCTGGGTTTGATAAAACCTTTAATTGGTATTTCCATTTTATCTATGTCCAAAGGAAGAAATTTTGTTGAGTTGAAGGAGGAATCAAGGCTAGAGATTATATGCCTGAGAACAACTACCAATTTTTATGTCAAAGATTCCCCTTATACCGTCACAATTTTTCATTGGTTGAATTGATTAACATAGATATGCTAAAAGTACTAAAAATTATCCAGAATGGCTAGAGTGATCAGTAAAAAAAGAACAAAATGTCTGGAGTTGGACTTTAATGTATAAGATGTTCTGGACAATTGAACTGTTTGCTACTCTTAGAAGTGATTAGAATAGCACACTTACTGGTATATAATTTGCATTGATATAATCTGTTGTTTCATCATCATCTATTGGTAATAACTTGACTCTACTATGGTCAACTACAAGTATGAGAACAAACATGAATACAAGGAAAATATATAAATGTGTAATACTAAGGATTATAGACTGATAACGTTGACAAAATCCCACTTAAATGGGATGAAGTTACATTAATATTTGCTTTGAATTTAAATAAATTGAGATCAGAGGCTGGTTTCCCCGAAATTCAACACAATCGAAAGCAGAAATTATTAAAGGGACAGGTGGGGCATTTAAGAGGGTTGATTTGGACCTTGAATGTCTGTAAAAAGTCTTCAGAACTACTTAAAACTGTACAAAAATCGCATATTCCTTCAAATAGACCTCAAACATGAAATTTAAATTTTATTTATTTCGTTCACAAGCCTATTCTCTTTCTAAAAATGTGGGTATCCGAAAATGGACGTCTTGTTGATATAGTCTCTGACACCAAGACATCTTCTGTTGTAGATGAAGTGGGACAGAATGATTTAGTCTTTACACATGGCGTCATCAAAAAATATTCAAATATTAGGTCTGTTTGTGACAACACATTGAGATAACTTTCAAACATAGATAATTATGGAAACACTTGGATTTGAAGGCTGAAATTTCTACGGTAAGCTGTGAACATTTCCACTAAGCTTGGCGGTATAATTCACGTTTCTGAGACCAAGGAAATTCCGCATCTGTCCCCTTAACGTTCTCACATGCAGATATTACCGACATCATGACATCCAATGAAAATATAAGGATAGAACAACATTCTAAACTATAGTGGTAACTTTGTTCTGGATTGCAGGAGCGTCAAATTACAGTTTTTATTCTTGAAAGGGATGCTGATGGCTAAAATTGAGCAGCTGGTAGACCATTGCCATATATTTAGATGACTATAACGCTTTAAAATGTATCTCGTGGGTGTGAATTTAGCACCTTAATAACAAGCAAAACAATCATATACTTACAAGCTAAAATATTAACATATCTGTTCTTAGGTTTATTTTCTTCTTTTTGGGCAGCTATACTATCATGTTTAGGACTAAGTTCTGCAATGCCCTAAAAAAAGCAAGGCATTATCTTTTACAGCAAGAATATTAATCGAGGCCTTTTTGCGGGTCATGGTCTAGGCCAGGCCTAGTAGGCCTATATTGAAAATTGTCATTATAACAAAACAAATTTCGTTCAATTTTTCACTGGAAGATTTAATGAAAAATTTCATTTTATGAACTCTTATATCTTTATTACAAAGTCAGTAAGTAGCCTTCAACATTATAGAATTGTTTTACCTGTCTATCAAAATCTGACCTCCATAACCTTCAAAGATTATCAAAGGTTACTGAATGTATCTCCAGACTAGCTTACCTCAAATTCTTCAGAAAACAACAGATTAGAATCCTTCTGTAAATTGGCAAGTTGTTCCTCAAAATGTTCCAATTTGATAGGTCTGAAATTATACAATAATAATAAAATATTTTCACAGTTAAGATAGTGCTCAATACATCAATTGTAGAGCAATATAGAAATATCCAAACAGAACTTAAATCATGATGTTACTCAGAGTTTCAGGCTATGCGGTCTTCAGTCTATTCAATTTGAAAGATTTGTTTCATTCATGATCTTGTGTAATCTTTATGAATTAAGGTGCCCTCACTACATTGCTGAGGGCAAATAAGAATGGCGATCATAAGTTTCGAATGCAACTTTCATGCAATTGAGTTGTAAGTTGCATTCAGTAATCATGACCACTTTCATTATTTGCATACATATGCAACTGGTATTAAATTGTGTGAGGGCACTTTTAAAGATGGGTTCTCTTATTTTCAATTATGAAAATGAAAATGCTAATTCTTATATGAATAGAAAATAGAGAAGATATAATGACTTTGAAAAATACCAGTTTGTCTTACATGACCTTAATTCAAAATTAGCTAAATTAGAAGAGAAATACCAACATAATTCCAATGAGTGACCGATCAAGTAAGTTTTTTTTGTTTATTCCGACTGTACATACATGGACATTTATGATTGGTTATAACTCTTAATAATATGCAATAAGAACATAATGATGTGATTAAGAATAGGTAATAATTGACTAGAAACACAAATTAATCAATCAGTTTGCTTAATTAGACACTAAAAAAATAAGGAAACCCATCTAACTTGCTTCTTACATGAAGAGATTTCATTTTTTTCCCTTAATGCAAACCATTGAAATTGTACAAACAGCACATATTAATATATTACAGTTAGTGGCCACTCGATAAACGAGTTCTGCACATTCGGGATTCATGGAATCAACTAAATATTCAATAAAACAAGTTGGAGCAGAGTTTAGAACGCTTTCGAAAAAATTAGTAGGTGCAGAAAGAATTCAAAATGGCAGAGAATGAAATATATGGGAAAATGTTAAATGTAACATATTCAGTCTGTACCGTTCAATTGAAGCCAGAATTGGAACAGATGGAAACTGGTCAAAACTCTTCAATCAAGTGAACAAGTCATTTTCAACTCTTTTCCCTTGATACAAATACCCAATTAACTTGTAGTTAAACATGTGGAAAAAAATTATTCTGTTCTAACTGCAATTTAATAGTTTATCACACAACCAAAACATAATGTGTTCACTGTCTAACAGTGACAGGGACAGATGCGCCATTCTTTTTGACCAATCACGCTTTAGACTCAGAAACAGGATTTTTTTTTAGCTAAGCCAATCAGTAATAGCACTCACAGCTCACCATCGAAATTTTGAGCATTCAAATCCATGTGTGTCCAGAATTATCCGCATTTGAATGTTAAAATGAGAACTCATCATTTTAAAATACTCTGTGATATATAGAAAAGACTAGAAATAGTGAGTAAAATTCCTAGTTTGAGATATTTTTGAAGGACTTATGCGATTTGTACAATTCTAGTGCTTCTACATATTTTCAAGACTCAAATCAACCCCCAAAATGGAGCATCCGTTCCTATAAATAACTAGAATATTGTTGCAAGTTTAAAAATATACTGACCTATAGCGTAGAGTTGTTGGTTTAGCCATGATACTATCGATTGAATGAATGGAATGTTCATCTACATTGTCACGCCTACAAAAATTATAATTTACTTGGGTAAGGTACAACACAGTAAAATGGTTATAAGGCGAGGTTCCCAAATTAATAATTTTGTTGAATGGTCAGCCAGTGATATCAATTGCAATAAAATGAAGTATGAAAATATATTATAAATATAGGCATGAACAAGATTTTAACTTACTCTTTTCTACGCCTATAGAAGTAAAATGCTGCTAAAATAACAGCGACAACAATTAAAATAACAACAATACTGACAACAATTGGAAGAACAATGTTACTTTCCTCTGGTTCTGAAAATAACAATTAATAATTCATTGACCTTTGACCTTTCTCATTGTCTAAAAATAGATCAATTGTGCAAATGACAGGGTATGCAGTACCCAAACACATAAAAAAAATTTTTTTTTTTTTATTTCAATACTATCTTTTAGTCTTCATAATTATAATAATGTTTAAGCAAAAGAAAACTGGTATATAATCAGTAAGTTTCAAAGTTACTGCATATATCCTGAAGGAAACCATTTTGACTCCTAATTTACTTACCGCCTTTTGTTTTGAAGGGTCCTATTGGTTGAGATACAGAGCAACCACCTTCAGTGCATGACACAGCTAGAATTCTGAAATGAAATTATTAATAATTTACTTTAACACTATAAATTTTATGTGTTTTTATACATCTACATGAAATGGGGGCGTATATATTGGAATCAACCATGTCTGTCGGTCCGTCCACAACCACAATTGCTCATAAACACTCTAGAGAACTTACAATTCTTGTTTCATTTTGACAAAACTTGGTGTGAGTCAACGAATACTTAATATGAGTTATTGCCCTTGTTCTTGAAGATACATTAAATTTTTAGCTCATAAAAACTCAAAAAGACACAATTCTTGACGGATTTTGACAAAAATTGGTATGAGTGTAATCACCAAAGGATGAACCACATCGAAAAACAGAAAAATCAAAAAATATTTACTATTAGTTATTACCCATGTTCTTGAAAACAATTTTTCAGAAGGAAAAAAAAAAAAGTTCAATAGAAGTGTATGGCTGAAGGTTGAATATTTCATACTAGTGATTGTTACTGTACTGCCAAATATTTTTCATTTTAAAATCAAAGCTGCCAGTGGCCGTATATAACATTGCCTGGCAAGCTATCTTTAAATGGAGATTTTGAAGATCCGTGCATCAAAATGATCTTTGAGCACACTATTTAAATGTGATCTTTTCCAGAATTGAAGTTGAATGGACAAAGAGGTCAATCATTATACAGTTGTAACATTCTGATTAAAGAAAACTCTCCATGGCCTGAATTGGGTACAAGTAGAAATTTGAGATTGCTAAGAAAATTTGTGTAAAATTTATCAAAATATTTGTAACAATAAATTTCGTGTATCCCATTTAAAGGGATTGTAAAGAGGTTTTCTAAAAAAAAATTTGCACCATTCTAATTTGCAGTTCTGAAGACGTTTGTGTTTCTTACAATTCACGAAAAAATAGTTTTTGATGACGTCACTAATCGCAAAAAATGCTTAACCACATAAGGCCCTATCATTTTTAGTGAATTACAGGAACCGAAGATGAAATGGTGCAAATTGATGCAGTCAGTTTTCCTGAAATTAGAAAACCTATTATCAGAGGGTTATACAGAATTAACCCTGAATTGATAATGGAATAAATCGGTATGAGATATCCAGTAGTGTGATCTAGAAATATCAAAATAGAACCTGAAATATTTACAAATCAAAATATATGTACTAAAATCCAACTTACTGATATTCTGTATCCATCTTCAATGGTCCATTACAAAAATATTCTTTAGGCTGTTTGTCACAATCACTTTCAGTACCAACAACAAATTTTAATTTATCTATGTCATCTGAACACAAATTTTAAATAAATAGAAAGATAAAAAATAGAGTCAATGATACAGTGATGTACATGTAGCAACCAGTACAAATAATGAAATCAAAATCTTCCTGTGGTTCTCTGTTGTAGCCAAAAAATTGCTTATCAAAGTTTAGCCATAAAAGTATACTGTAGTTACATATGCACCTATTTACTTTTAAAAAGATGAGTTTCCCTTTCCACAAAAAGAACATGTAATACATTATGATGTATAATAGATTAATCATTACCTTTATCACCATACCAGGTATCATTTGTTACTCTATATGGTACATCAAATGATTGAGCACTGACTTTCTGCCAATTAGCGTAACTTCTTACCTTTGCTACAGTTAGCTGATTATCTATAGTTAAATAAATATGATTATATAGTATTAACAAGCTAAAGTGACATTAAAGAAACAAATGGGAGACCAAAAGACATTATCATGTGGAAAATATAATTCATGAAAGTAAGAGACTTATCTCAGCATCAAAAATTTAAGCAGTCACACACAAATGAAATATAAAATTATTTAAAGGGATGACCATTTTTACCAATCGTACCTTGGTCTCAGAAACGAGAATTTTTTAGCTAAGCCAATCAGTAATAGTTCATCCTCAAAATTTGAGTCTTCAAATCCAAGTGTGTCCAGAATTATCCGTGTTCAAAAGACGAGTCATCTTTTCTTAAGACCCAGCCATATCATATAGAAAAGACATCTATAGAAATAGGAAAAGAAATTCCTAGTTTAAGATATTTTTGAAGGAATTATGTGATTTTCGTACATTACTAGTACTTCTGAAGACTATTTACATATTTCCAAGAATCAAAACAACCCCCCAAAATCTTATTTTCTTCATTGCGTGGCATTGTCTACATTTGTTATTAAAAATAAAGTGCATAATTTCATTTATTCATTTCATTTTACAAGAATTCAGTATAAACTCATACCATTGATATCACAATTGCCTTTAACACAGACTAATAATGCTGTTATCTTTACAGGACCATTAGTTTCATCTCTTAAACAATTAGGACAAACTGTTACAGAGAATGATGTCTGTTCAATGACTTCAGAGTTTGGTATCAATATTATATTTTCCTTTGGTAGTTTTGGTTCTAAAAATATACAATACATGAAATTAAATTTTTTGGTTCCAATATTTCATAGGTTGAATAGATTAGTTGGTCTAAAATTATATAACGCATGTAATAGATTGGTTTGTTTCAAAAATACATACCGGGTGTACAGGTTGTTTGTTACTGGTGTTACTTGTAATTTTGATAATAAAACATGACATGATATAGCATACTTTTTCCTATTACAGTATACTCCGTGTAATCCAACATAAACTGGGGCCGTAAAACAATGTCATATTGGCGAGTGTGTCGGTGTATTCAAATTTCCGCGATTTTTTAACATGTGCTACATGTTACTATAAATACCTCAGTGACCACAATAAGATTCTACAGTACCCTTCAG